GGGTTAAATGAATGTGAATTCACACTAAAATTGTCAATCAGCTACACATCTCTCACCAAATCATTCTTTTTAGTCGTGCATAATTTTTAAGGCCTCCAGCTACTATGATGCCTTGTGTTCAATATGTTTCCTTCCCTCTGTAACTGATGATCACAGTTTTTTTAGACAAGTTTCCTAAATCTGTGATAAAAGTTAATTTATTTCCTAAAAGACTACAAATGGTGCCTCGTATATTGAACCAAACAAATGATACACCATCCTGCTTGGAAATTAAACACCTAAAATATCTGTGGTGATTTAGCATAGTGCCAGAGTTGAATTTATTTAATGTAACAGTTTAGGTTTCAATTGAGCTACATTTATTAGAATCTGGGCACAGTAATATGTTACTGTTTTTCCTACTTTCAGCAAATGCCAAAATTATAAACTCCAAAATAGATGGTGAAGTACATTGTTAGTGATATCTGATTGGGCTAACATTTCCCTGAATTTAGCCCTGAGTTATTGCTTAGACTACAGTTGAATTGCTAAGAATTCTCCTGCAAAGCATTATCAAGAGAAAATGTGATTTAATAATTTAATTATGAATATAGTCATCAAATATGACTTTTAACCTAACAGGAGTCTTTAAAGAAGGTAAAAACCAAAACAAAATTATAGCCATCTGAAGATAAGGGATTGCATTTGATACCATTTTAATAATTTTATACTGCCTGTCATAATTTATTTCCTAATGAAAAAAAAATAGATGAAGGCATTCATTGTGTGCCGGTAAATGCTCAACAACTGCCTTTCCAGGAATTAAAATTGCTAGTTCATAGCATTTGCCAGTTTCTATGGTGTAAATACTCCCACTGTGGACAGTTTCAAGCTACTAAAACCATGTTAAGAATCTGCAGTCAGGAAGAGACCCATAATAGCACAATATTGTATTCTGTTTTCACTGTAAAGATGCAATAGACCTAAACAGACTCAAGAGTCCTGATAAATTGTATAATGTAGTAAAATAATTGGAAAGTGGTATGTTTTGATTATTACCTTTGTTTTCAATGTATTCCATTGTGTTTTATAATTTCACATTTAATAATGGTTACATTTAACAACTAGCTTACAAAATTTTGGATAATTTAATTACCAACTTTTATGCATCAGAACGAGCTAGTTCCAGCCCAC